AGCTTTTATTTAAGTTAAAATGCATTAACGACAAGCTGGGTAAGTCGTAAGCATAGTCGTATTGGCACGGAATTTCATAAAGAATGCCATGATTGGTTCATTCACTGAAACTATCCGGCTCCAGATGATTTGGCAATGGTTGATGTGAAATATTATAAGGCTTGTACATACATGGACTGCAATTATATACAATGTCTGTTTCTGTGAACTACTGCTGTGAACTAATCACGTAACTAATTCCACAAGTGGCAGTATACGTTGTTCTTGCCCCGAGCAAGTTGGCGGCCGGTGGGGGTTAGGTGGGCGCGGGGAAGGGGGAGGGGGCGCAACAAAGGGGCACATCTGTTGTGACGAAATACCTCTAGGGGGTGATGTTTTGAGACCACATAAAAATAGTAGATGGCTTCGCCACTGGCAGCGTGGACAAAGTATCAATTGCACATACATTGCAAGGCACAAATATATCAAGCCACGAAACAACCGGGAGCATAAAACAGAGATCAAATTTTGCGTCATATTCATAACCGCTGTAATCCATCTTTACGTTAGCGAGGATGCAAGGTTTTAGGACAGGCTAAACAAACTGTGACTGAGTAAAGCACTATGACGTTTGCGTGTACCCACGTCTTTGATAAATGTTGGGCGTTTCTCACCTTGGTCAAGAGCTGCAGCGGACGAATCTTAGAGCCGAAAGTCGCTAATTGCATCATGCGAGTATAACGCTGGCAGAGCTGCTAGAAATCAGCATAGCTGTCTGTATATCTTGGCACCAAAGCGAAACAACGAGCTGTTCTTCTTTGCGTCGCTGGCCTGTGCTACTTTCGGGAGGCGCTTTTCCCCGCTTTGCATGGAAATACTTTTGGTTGGCAGGTTCAAGCTAAGTTTGTGATAAGCATTGGGAGCAAATGATTCGTTCTGACATGCTTCCCAACCTAATGATAATCCCAGATGCTGGTAGATCGGCTTAATTTGACGGCGCAGACCAGTGCAGTTCTAAGCCGTAGCGTGATTCGGCTTTCGAACCATGGTCCTAGGCCTCCGGAACAGGTTTTGATGCCAAGTACTATGCGTCTGTATTCATTGGATTGGTTATACATACATAATTTCGGAAGCAATGAGTGGATAATATTATTGCCAGATGTTTGCCAATTATAGGCAGCATGTGCTTGCGCTTTCCGTTACGACGAGCATCGTTATGTAAACCACATCGTCATCGTTATTATTCCCTTAGGTATCGTTTTTCAACGTTATAACACAGCAAGAAAGCAGGCGACATGGTCTGAGAGAATAAGTCGTTCTTGGCACGCCTGTCCCTAAAACCGAGAGAATAAGGTCGTTTCTTAGCTAAAAATGCATCAAAAAGTTACCTTTAAGGGGCAGCGGCCATTCGGAAGCGCACACGGATGCTGTTTCCGAGTCACGTATTGGGCCCTAAAGCGGCATCAAAGTCTCTTCGTGAGCGGTACCGAAACCTTCCCTTCGGCACCAACAACCCCATTTATACGAGTTGCCGAATATTAGGGGCACCACTAAGAGTCGCACATTTCAATTTGGAACGGCACATGTTGTACATATTTCAGCTAACACAGTGGAGCAAAATGCAATTTCTTTTTTCTTGGGGGGGGGGGGGGTCACAACTTTCAGGGCCACTATAATATTGCGCGCCTTCTCCCCGGCAAAATCCTGAATCCTCCTCTGCAACCCAGTCACGGGCAGGTCGTGCCGCGGCAGACATTTGGATTTTCACGCTCTTCTGTCTGACGAGGGAGGGACAAAAACAAAGTAATCCATCGAGACGAACGGCACGACTTGTGTGATGGATTCAGAACATATGCAACAAGCGTTGTTTAGCAGGCATTCTGAACGAAAGCATCTGATACAAATTGCACCAGCCACGAACCGGTAGAAAATCAAACGATGCAGATGAATGTGTTGCTGCTGAACTCTTTGTTGTCTTCCTTTGTATTGAAACAGACATGAAGACAATTTGCAATAACCCTAACAATCGTTTGGATTATAAAGAGTATCATAACAATTTACAATATTTACATAACATGCATCCCGCGTCACAAAAATCCATGTCACTATCAAACCTATGGAACTTTCCTCCAGCAAGCACCACTTCGGCCCAACACATGTCTCTGGATGAGCGACAAAGTGCTCTTGCGAACCTTTATCGTCTTGTCAAAAGCAAATTAACAAAAAAAGACCAACATTTGGTCACAGTCGATACGAAGCCATTTTTACTGATCCACTCCAGGCAGTTCAATAGTATCGTAATGATAATGTTTTCTACAAATGTTAATGCACAATGCACACGTAACAATCAGCCATTCACCATTCAACAGCATCCAGGACAGCGTTGCTTCAATATGCAGATAATCAATATCACATTCTTCATGTGGAACTACGACAGAAGACACAATGCACTGCAGACCGAACACGTCCCACGCATACACTAGGTTTAAGGAAGATGCTGTATAGTCTTTCCTAGATATAAGATATATCTTGGGGCTATGTTTCTATGATTGAGCATAAATTCACTGAGCTCTGTTTTGTTGATCTGTCTATGTTTATTTGTTCTAGGATAACTGCAAGAATGAACCATTGGTAAAGCAAATGTAGTTAGCTCACCGATACATGCAGTATGTAAATATAGCAGATCAGAGAACAAACACCAGTTAACAAGCTTCCAAACATGATCTATTGTTTTCGTTACTGACATACGGTATAATCAAAGTCTACCATAATTATTTTCACAGGGAAATAATGCCCAACCGGACAATGATCAAGTAATGCTTTAAACGTTAAAACACTATTACTTTGACATGATTTAAAATGCGGCCGAACGAGGTCGTGCCGCAACGAGATCTATTTCGGGCTTAAACAATCAAATAATGGCCTTGTATACTACGATACAATACGTGAGCCAATCGCATTCAAACAATTCAGTCATGTAATACATGTTCTGTTCTATTCCAGAAGTTTGCTCGAAAAAGGAAAACATGGAGGAATTCATGAGCAGTGAACAAATTTGACAGGAAGACCTATCCCGCGTTGGGGTCCGCTGATCCGACTTGTGACGGAAGTAGCTGTGCCAAACCAACCAACACCTGTCCACCACCCTGGGAGACGGGTAGCCACGGAGCCGGCCGGTAGAGGCGGTGTGTAGGACAGTGAGTGGAGAGGGCGGGGGGGGGGGGGGGGGGCGGCTCGTCTTGGCTCCGGTCCGGTATTGATCTCAGCCGGCCGAGGATCCGCGCGCGCCGCCGAGGCCAGGCTGGCCGCTGGCCGGCCCGCCCAGCGCCCAGCTGGCAGCGTGCTGGTGCTGGCCGCAGCTGGGACACGCACTGTGACCGACTGTCACTCACGCGCCGGGGGGCAGGGTGCCAGAGAAGGGGATGCAAGTCAAATCTGACTCGGTCGCTGTCGGCCACGGGGCCGTAAGTTGTGCCCCTTTTAGGAAATGATGGAAAAAGCGAGGAGAGACCTCAAAGTTGGCTGATGCGTTACGGGCTCTCTGTACTTGACAAGAGAGTCTGATCGTACGGTCTGCTTCCTTGCTCTTTGGTTTTCCCTGGAAGACCATTGGAGTTAAATTTGACAAAATTAATCCATGCAATGTTTTGTCGATATCTAGACAGAAAAAGAACATAGCATAACGTCCGAAAAAAGAAATCACCGCAACTTTAGTCAGCATACTCATCAGCGGAAAGTGCTCGAACATGTCACAAACAAAAAGGTGTGTACGGGCTAAACCATACTCACATTGCAAGAACTCATGTCATTGGTTCCTTTGCTTTTAAATATATTAATATGACTTTAAAGTGGCCAAGCACGCTTCATTGAAATGCGTGAGATACATAGCGCAGTGAGTTTTGGACTGGTGGATAGCGTTTCTAAAATCTTTCTGACAACACTTGAGGGCAGTGTCATTTGAAAATGTTTGACGTACCAAATTGTAAAGCTTAAAGCCCGCACCGACGTCTTCACCGCTTTACATGAGCAACTGGCATGAATTGTATGTATGATACGCGTTTGGGGCCTTTATATTCTTTTAACTATTAAACATTTTCTAACGCGAAGACTTGTGGAGCCTCTCCAAACAGACGCCTCTATAGCGACTTTGAGAGGCAAACATTTAACGGGAGTCCGTTTCACTAGACAGGCGGGCTGTTAAAGTTTCAACCAGCCAAAGTATGCTACGACTACAAACAACGCCCCAGGCGGTCGTACCTGGGGCTGACGGGTTAGCAGATTTAACCATTCAACAACGCCCTCTATCCCCCTAAGGCCTACACTATGTTTAGAAGATTTGGCAAAGTCCCTTCACTGCTGTCATTCCTTGATTGGTTTGGCAACATGGTTCCCCAATCCCAAATACCATCTAATGGTGTAAGATAGCTAGTTATAAAAATATTGTATGCGTACAACCGATGGCATCCACCTTGTCACTTTGACACGTCAAAGCCGAAGTCACGGCAGCAGTTGAGGGATATACATATGCATGAGAATAGGAGCAAAACGCAAAGTTAAGGTAAAATGGCATAGTAGATTGGTACATAAGATATCCTCAGACCTCAGCATCGGATTTCAAGGTGTTCGTGGCACCACGATAACAGCCTAACCGACTAGTAAGGGCAGCAGCGAGTCAGGGCCGGCGAACAAGATGTCGTCAGCCCCCCGCTCTGCCCTACTCTCTGGGGCAGACGGAGACGGCTCGCTCCAGCGGTCCCGTGTCCGGCGCAGGGTGAGAAGGCAGCTCCATCCGACGCCGGTGGAGCCCGCTGAGCAGAGCCAGGGCCGGGCCGAGGCCGGGGTCGGCGCCGGCGCCGGGCCGGGGCCGGGCCGGGGTCGGCGCCGGCGCCGGCGCCGTGCCGGGCCGGACCGGCACCGGGGCCGGGGTCGACGGCGGTCGCGGCCGATCTTGAGCAGGCGCCCCGCTCGGCGCGGGGCGACGCGCGCATCGCGCTTGGCACCGTCGGAAGGCGCGTCGGCGGCGACGGCCGCGTCACGGCACGATGATGTGCGGCGCTGACAGCAGCACGGCCACGGTCGCCACGATCGTGAACAGCGTGAACACGATCAAGCACATGCGGTCCACCACCATGGCGGCGAACTTCCAGTCGCCGGTGACTTCGGCCTCGTGGTCGTCACTGCGCATCTTGTCGGTGATAGTCCGCAGCTCCTTGAGGATCAGCTGCAGCTCGCGGCTGCAGCCGGCCAGGCAGCTGTGCATGGTCAGGTCGTCCACCGACTGACCCGGCAGCCGGATGTAGCTGGCCGAGTTGGCCTGCTGCGCACCCGCGCCCCGGAAGTCGTCGTCCATGTCCAGCACGTTGGCCAGCAGCGACTTGGAGGAGCGCTCCTTCAGCTCCAGCTCCTTCATCTTGTTGTTCATCATGATGTTCTTGCGCGTGATCTTCTCGCCCGGCCGCGACATGCGCAGCAGCCACGGCATCCACTGCAGGAACAAGCTGCGCACCTGTCGACGCGGAGAGCTGTGATGTCACGCAGCGGCGGTGACGTCACCCGCAGCAAGGGCGCCACACAGCTGTGACGATGACCTCCTCCCCATAGGAAAGGAAGCCACGCAGCGGGTATGACGCCACTCATGAGGGAAGGTTTCGCGTATGTTGCCGTCACTCACACGAGTGCCGTCATGTAGCGGCTATGACGCCACTCACGCCGTGTAATTCCTCACACGGCGGCAATGATGCTACTCACAAGAAAAAGCACAGGTGCAACGCACAGGCCTTGGGGGGGGAGGGGGGGGGGGGGGGCACACAGGAGAGGGCAACTCACACGGGAGACTTTGACACAGCGGCGATGACTTCATACAGAGGTATGATGTTGCACACGTCATCACATCACACACAGAAAAGGATGGGACGCAGCTGTGGGACGTCACACACTGGGCATGATCGCAACGCAGAGGAGAGTGTCACGCAGTGATAAGGACGTCACCCACTGGAGAGGGCACCAAACATGTCATCGCATCACGCGAAGAACAGGGCAGATGCGCTCTGATTGTTATTGTATGTGCTCATATTATTAAAGGACAGATGACGCAGATGTGATGGCGTCACACAGAAGGATGACCACACGCAGCATCAACCCCGTCCGGTTTTCCGAGATCAGTCATCCCGCCGACACTGGTTCGACACTCTAACGAGCAAAGAGGGGTCTGGATGCGTGCAGCGTGGGGTGTCGAAGACGCCCTGGCTGGGTGGGGCACGGGAGCTTCTCGAGCACAGGCGAGCTGCTGAGGACGAAACACCTCTGTCGGCATCGAAAGACCGATGTATCAGGCGACTTGTGGCTGAACGCACTTGGATCGATTTTACTTTTTTCGTTAAGCGCTGTTTCCAAGCGCAGGACCACCAAAAGACTTACGCCGGATATCAGCCGGCCTTGATATCCCGCACCCCGCACCGCGCATCCCTCACCCTGCACCCCGCTAAGTTGTGGGGTGAAATGAAATTACACTCGACCTGGCATGGCTGCAAGCTGGAAACGCACGAGCCCCTGGAGGCCTGTTCACTTCGACTGATTTAAAGTCAGCTGCATTCCTGAAGTCTCTCGTTGTCAAATAGAGCACGCACCTGGGGTGCGCCTGGGGGGCGCGCCTGGGGGGCGCACCCAAAGCATGCGCATTTTCGCAAGCAAGCGAGGCCGACACATGGAAGACATTGGGAGACACTGAGGTCAGGAAACGACTACCACGTGCTTGGAGCCGAGATCTAGAGGAGTGGCAGAAGATAATGGTCTAGTCCGATCACACACCCAAAACTAGTGGCTTAAACGTACGAGGATGGGGGAACGATAGCATCCCAGGACATGCGGCAGCCGTTTGAATGAGTAATTTACAGGAGGGAGTGGAAATTGTGAGATGTGGAGCTTAAATGAACTTAACAAATTTAAGAGGACAAAATGTAAAAAAGCAGAAGCCGACAGCATTCTTCAACTGGCAGATGTACACCGTGTGTTGGTTGCGTTCTTGCTTGAGTTGGAGCTAATTGACTTATTCGGACGGATTCCGGGCTACATGATCAGAAACAGAAGCCAAGCATGAGGTAATAAGGCAGCCAGCACGCCTTAGACATGTACCCCAGGCCTGGCCTTTCGGGGAGGCTGTCTGCATTGCAGACAGGCCTTGCGTGTGCTCAGACGGGACGAGAAACTGGGGCAGCCCGCGGCGAGGCCATGCCTGTTGCCATGGCCGGCTGATCTCCGATTGCAGTGAGTCGCGCATGAACTCGGAGCCCCGTGCAAAGATGGCGCTAGGGCCGACACGGGCAGAGCACTGGCGACGAGCGGCACCCAGGCCATCCACCAGTCTTCTTGTCAGGACGCCCCCTCACTTACCCACGGCGCCATCTCGTGGGTTTCGCCGGAACGATGGTGGTAGTTGAGTATCAGCACCGTGCTGACCACCGACGACGCCACCATGAACATTATGCAGTTAAAGTACGTTCCTACAAGCACAGATGGCGTTAGCAATGCACCGCGGCTGGCGCATCTTTTCGGAAGTTTGCGCCGAGAGGGCGCTCGCGTCGACACTGACGGCTTCAGCGGAGTCTGGGAGCGGGTCTGCGGCATAATCTCGCAGTCATTACAAAAGTTTTGAGCGCTGGGACTGTCGCAGCTTCTTACGGGGGCCGAGTGACGTCACGAGCGCCCTCCGACCAAACTTGGACGACCGCTGACGAGCGTCCCAGGCACATGCCCGGGAAATGGAGCGTCCGACGACACGGGCGACCCATCTGAGCATTTGTCGGACAAACAGCTGACAGCCAGAGCCTGACGGGAGCGGTGCTTTCGTCCGAAAAGAAGCCGAAAAACAAGTTTTGTCAGTTGGGTAGAACTTCACATATTTCTGATTCCTCGGATCGCAAAGTTGACGCCGAAATGAAACTGACAGGAAGGGAAAAAATAAAAACGTGACCAAACCATCGTGATCCCACAAGCAGAAACATGTGAGGTGACGACCTCACGTTTAACATGCTTCTGAGACGAATTTTGTCCGCGTATTTCTCTAGATATCATGACACCATTTATGACATCTAACACCGCTGGCTTTGCACAGCACCGCCTCGAAATGTTCAGATGTGTCATGAGGACATAATACATTGAGGGTAACGCCCATTCATTTTAATCGGTGCAGATCTCAAGCTGTATTGTTCACATATAGACCTGAATTCATGATCCGCTCCGGCAAGAGATACATTCCGCACCTAAAGAGCGGCAAGCTTAACCGGACACGCGTTTGTTTAGCAGCACCGTGTGTATTGGCAAAGGCGGAATATGCATGCATCAAACCAGTCGATGGAGTGCGCCATGCGGCATCGAGCGGCAGCCCCAGGGCCAGGCCGTGTTATTCCGGGGCGTGTGGGGCTGCCGGCGTCGAGGGCCCACCTGGCGGCGCCTGTGGGCCCCCGCCACGGTGACCCTGCACGCCTCGGTCGAATTTTAGAGCTCCAGTTTAATCCATGCATATTTATCGACTGGCTATCTGACTTATCGGCAGTTGTTTGGTCCCTTCCTGCGAGCGCGAGGCGCGCAAGTGCTGTCAGTGGGCTAGTTTGAAGCACGCGGACGCACACGCCGGCTGCTGGAGGTGCCTGACCACCGCTCGCGAAGTGAGGTGTAGTCACCTCGCGCCTCGCCGCCGCAGAAAGGGACCGTGCGGTGACACACGCAAACTGTGGCGACTCTCTCAGCCAATGATCATCAGCCATGAGAACCTTGCTTTGAAGATCGGAGGGGACACCACAGTCCTCAGCGCACGCCGAGCGACCCAACGGCCGGGAGCCGGCCAGACGCGGCAGGAGCACCTGGCCGACGTCAAACCAAGGCCCCGGTGTAGGGCGCTCGGCGGAGGAGGCACGCGATTGGCTGCTTGGAGTCGCAGAGGGGGACGGGCCGACAAATCGGAAGGCCGCCAGATTTATGGCGTGGATTAGCACGGCCTTCCCCAGAGTCCGGACGGCGGGCTGGTGGCCGCCCGGTCGGGGCTCAGGTACTTCAAGAATACCGTGACCAGACAGACTCTGAAGAAAGCGCGTGGCTGATTTTGATTAGACTTTAACTGAATGCGGTTAATATAGTTAATCAGATACATTGCCTGTTCTTTGGACGATGCAGTGTGCATGACAAACAGCCGTGCTCTTAACCATGCAAAGCCATGCACGGAAAGCATTCACTTGTCACTTGTCGCGAGGCCATTGTATCACAGACAGTGACTCGTGTGCGTGTGCGTCGGTTATCAAAAAAGTTAGCCGTGGTTTAGATGGAGAATGGATGGGCACAATGGTTGACAGGAACACATTGCGGGGATACATCGGTGTACGACTCTCAATACTTGTTTTTTTCAACTTAAGGTAATAAGAAAGTATATCTAAGTGCTCCAGTTTAAAAATGCATGGTGAAAATGTGCGCAATGGGGCTGTCAAATCTTCGAGCGAGGTCGCTAAAAAAGCTACTCATCTGAGAGCGCTAGTGCAATGTAATCGTGCAACGCCCACGCGAAGAGAGAAGAAGCCAGCGATATTCACCCCCAGACCACCGAATCGAATCTCCTCCCCCCCAAGCGCACCTACGAAGAACGTGGCGAACGGGGGGACTGCTGCGCTCCTGAGGCGTTTGTGGCGCCGTATAAATCAACGCATGGGACATTTATGCGTGTACCTCCCACCACACCACAGATACTGTGTTGACCCCTTGCATGGCTCTGAAACGGCCCGTTTTCACAAGAGCTGCGTAATTACCCCGTGCTTATCATCACTGCTCCCCGCTGGCCACCCCGTCGAACAGACCGCCCCATCCCCAAACGCTCGTCCCGCGCCATGACCATGGTCGTCGTGCACGCGGCCGCGCGCGCCATGCCCCCAGCACGGAGCCACCGCAGCCGCCGACGCCGCCAGCGCGTCACGCTGTCGCCGGACCGGGGCTGGTCAGTCACCGTCACGCCCGCCCCGCTCCCGAAGGTCAGTCGGGACGTGGCCGAACGGTCGCGGCACACGTCACGTCGCCACTTCGCCGACCCCGTCCCCGAGAGCGGTCGTTTGTCCGGCGCTAACCGCCTGAGTTGGGCGTGCCTCCTCGGCGCCACACTCCTCCCCCTCCCCCCCTCCCCCGACGCCTCCTCCCGCGACAAGTGTGTCTTGGCACGCGCGCAGACCAAGACGACACCCAACCCCGAGACTGCCAGGCCGGCCGCGCGCCGTGTCACACGCGTGTCACAGATGTGTCGCACGGATGTCAGACGCGTGTCACAAACGTGCAGCGGCGGCGTAGTGTGCCGACAGGTGACGTCAGTCCGCGCGGCTCGTGCCGCGTGTGACAGGCTCAATCTGAGCCCGGGATGCAACGTCGCCGTCTCTGGTTGCCGCCGGCTTCTCGTGCGATTGACAACGTTAGAGGCAAACGTTGGCCATAATGGCAGGAATTTAGAAGGAATCGAACGATTCGCCAGAGGGAATTATTCAGCGATACCGTAATAACAACGCGAATCATGTTGCACTCGCTACATAGGTGCAGATGTCGATGTACGCTTAAGGACAGAAATCATGTGTTTTCTATCATGAGTATGCTGTTATGATCAGCTGAATAATCAATAAATATCTAACATGGCTGTAAATGACGGGTTTGACCAGAGCTGGTTTAGTACTGGATTACAGGTGGTGGATAATCGGGACAATGCAACATATCAATTAGAGAGTGCAATACAAATGATGGGTGCTTTGAAGTTATTTGATCAACGTTTTAATTGAGGGCTGAAATATGGAAGCTGTGATAATATTTGGCCACACTAACTACAGCATGTCAATATGATGGAATCTATTAATTCTCTTTTTGATATATCAGTCCAAAGTGGCCTGAGTGTGTCGGCCGACAGTTACTTTTGTTTTCTCATATCTTTTACAAAATGTCGTACGAAATGAAATGAATGAAACTGAAAAAATTGAAAGATGAAACGGTGCAGTTTGTTTGTATATGCATATATATATATATATATATATATATATATATATATATATAATTAGCATTGTACCATCTAAGTGGTACCCGTCCGCATCAAAGTTTTGCCTGGTAAATGATGTGCCTTGATAATCAACTCATGCGACAATAATGATGTGAACACAAATTGGGGAAATCTTTTATGCGGACGGGCTTCGCTTACATGATTTTCTTCATCTGTACATTACTAATCATACATATATCTATACATATATACTATTTATATATGTATATATGCATATATATATATATATATATATATATATATATATACAATTAGCATTGTACCATCTAAGTGGTACCCGTCCGCATCAAAGTTTTGCCTGGTAAATGATGTGCCTTGATAATCAACTCATGCGACAATAATGATGTGAACACAAATTGGGGAAATCTTTTATGCGGACGGGCTCCGCTTACATGATTTTCTTCATCTGTACATTACTAATCATACATATATCTATACATATATACTATTTATATATGTATATATGCATATATATATAAATATATATATATATACACATATATATTCTTGCATCAAATAAATTTTACATGGTTTATGTTAATTCGCTAGCTTGCAAAGACGTTTGAATGAAATGCTCGCATGCTATTAAGATTTCCTGTATAACGTATCCCGTAAAAGACGAAAACGTATTAACGATATGTCTTTTGCCAGTGTTTGGCACAGTTACGCCGCCAAAACACAAACTGTTGAAATGCTGCAAATGAAATACAGATATTAATGAGTAACAGACGGCTACTGGCAAACAACTATGGACAGTTATTCCACGCGACAAGAGCGGGCACGTTTGGAACGTACGTTTTGAAGGCATCTGTTGGACGCCAGCGAGAAAGGCGAGGGGTGAGGATGGGCAGATGGTGTTAGTTCCTGTTTACCAGACCACGGTTAGTCGGCGCGGTTTCTGCGCTGTCGGGTGTCGTCTTTGGCGGCCGCGTTCCCGCATGCCATTCCTCGCCTAGAGCTGGGATGGTGCGCCGTCCCCGGGCATTCCGTCCGGCGGCCCGTCCCGAGGGCGCGCTAGCTCCCGTCTGCGGCTGCTCTATGTGTCACGCGGCCAAACCCAGCAGGCCGATGCCAGCCGCCCCGGGGCCCGGAGGGGGGCGGCGCAGGCGGCGCAGGTGGCTCGATGCACCCAATGCAAGGAGGTCCATGGCTGAGCGTGTTAGGCGCGGGAGCGGCGGCGCCCGCGGGCCCGGCGGGCATTCCCGAGAGCATGCTGGGTGCCGAGGTGCTGACCTATGAGGGGCACCGCGTCGGAAGTCTCCGGCAAAGCATCGCTTATCATTAGAGAAAACACAGTCAGCGAGAGAAGGATGGTAACGCCTGGAAAACAAGGCGGGGGTCAGGCGCACTGTCGACCGACCGCCGACTGCCGAGGCTCAACGAACAGCCCACCCCCCACAATCATGCGCCAGTTACAGAGCCGACTCTATCGGGGCCTCCGCACGCACAGCGTCAGAGGGACAGAGAGACAGAGACAGAGACAGAGAGAGATAGAGAAAGAGAGATAGAGAGAGACAAAAGCGTGAGAGAGAAGACAGGGGGATGCCAGGGTTTCGACATAAGCGGCGCTGGTATGACACTGCTCTGTACACCCCGCGCGAGGACGTCTACCGCTGCCGGGGCGTTCTGGACGTAGACGGCGCGTGCTCGGCTGGCGCCGCTCGGCCGACGATGCCGGCGCTCACGCGCCAGGAGCGGCGTTCGCGCGTACCGGCCGGCCGGGCTCTCTACCTAGTACAGGCATTGCATCTGACGCTCGTCCGGAGGCTATGAGACTAGATGGGGACTACGGTCACGGAAATTTGGAGGAATCACAACCTCTGATATCACGGAAGTGACCCGTAACCTGTGATATAAATGGTGGACATGGCCCGTGACTCTCGTGCAAGTTCGAACGCAATTTGGAGCGAGCGTTCTGTGGTGTCCCCTCAGGTCTAGTCGGCAAAAGCACCCGCCGAACGGTGACACGGTGTTTACCTATAAGAGGGACAGCGTCGGATGTCGTTGGCATACTCTCGGCCACCATGTTTAGAAAGACAGTGAGGGACAACAAAACTGTAACACCTAAAACAGGAATGGAGACGGTGAGTTACCGATTTACTCGCGCCGTTAAGGTCCAGCGGAAAGAGCTGTATATAAAAGAAGAAAGTGTGAGAGTCTGACACTGTTTACAGAGGTCAGCCGTGATTCTGAAAGTGGAAAGTCGTTTGATCAGGTAGGATCAGTCAGGATGAATTGCCAAAGGTCAGTGGCGCATGCGTCATAAGAAAGAAAACACAAAACACGACATGCGTGATGCCCTGTAATCCTATAGAACAGTGTATAAGACAGGCATGAATTTATGGCTTGCTTTATATATGTATGTCCGCAGGGCAGTGCTTCCTGGATTTACGCGGTCGGCCATTACAACATCGACTCGAGCAATATATTTAGTGGCAGCGTCCAGCCCTCTGGGAGTCCAAGTGCAATTTTGACTCTGGGTTACCTAGGAGAGGCACAGCCTCTGAGGTCTCTGGCATGTTCGCGGCGACTTGGTTGAGAAATACGGTCAGAGATAGGAGAACAGTGACCCCTGAAGATAGAGCACACGGTTAACTACCTGAACGGGCGGAGACCTCTCGCCCAAACAGGGCACGCTGCGCTAGCGGGGGCCGCTGTTGACTGCCCATGTAAAGCTAACAACGAACAGAGAGGTACCAAGAAGGTGACCGGGAGAAAGCGAGATGTGAGTAAGAGAGAGGGAGAGAGAGTGAAAGCGAGAGAGAAAGGGGAAAGGCAAAAGAGACCGACAGTAAAACAGAATGCAAGCAGCCAAAACTAGGCAGTACAACCGTATTCGGGAGTTGTAAAGACTGGCTGTGAAAGGAGAGAGAGAGAGAGAGAAAGAGAGGGGAGAAAGAGAAAGAGAAAGAGAGATGGATAGAGTGGATAGACGAAAGAAAGAGCGACGGGAGGGCAAAGCATGCCTGGGCGAGGGACAGGTGAACGCATCGGAACAGCAATACGCGAGTCAGGTATTACTGAGAAGTCAACCATCGTCAACCTCCAACAGCTGCATCGCATAAAATCCAAACACAATCTCCTATCATCGGCAAAGACACACACAAATGCATAGGAGTATATACGCCGAATGACAGTTCAGCAACCAATGCAACCATCAGCACACAATGCAAATCAACCATATCAGCGTCATTTGATTTAAGCAGGCTCGCCTCCCATCCGATGATGCCCACACACCTGAGTTACCTGTGCGAATCCAGAATATGGGCTTAAGTGATGGGATGTCAGGATAACGTTTGGTGTGAAGTCGGAAGGGCAGCGACAGCGGAACACCGTGGGCTAAGTACTATGGCACACTGCTCCACATCGAAAGCTGGTCTAGAGTGCTCTTGTTTGGGTCGAGATGGGTTCTACAGCACAACATCGGCTCACTGTTCAGCACTGATGACGCAAATGATAATATATAGTTAGAAATGACAAAATATAACTAGATGGGCAATGGCCGTGTTTAATTCATAGTAGACGTGCATCGACCCGGCAGAATCAAGTACCACTGGGAAAGCTAATAACGATAATGACGCTCCGCGACAAATTTATCAGCTTCTTTTGAGCATTAATCCGAACATCATCAGCCAATTTTGTTAGATACAGCGGAGCAACAATGATCAAGTATGCGATATCATGAGGATGCGGTAAACGAACCTCGCTGCAAAAGAACTTAGTTTGTTATCTCAATAAGATAGTTTCATTTACCGGTATCCTCGCGTCTCAAATGATGGAAAAGGGCGCACTCCCGCTCAGTCCACTGCCGATCTAGTCATCTTATGCATGGTGAATTAATGATTTCATACTATGGTCTTGGCGACATCAACACGTTTTCAAAGGTGATAACAAAAGTGTGATCACATCAACTGCCAATATGGAATGAACACAAGAAAAGGCACAGGCACCGGACATTTTATATGTTGAACAGGTTCAAGGTAGGAACTACTGGAAAGCTGCGCAGAGTCCAACACTTATATCGGTCAGTAGCTGGGAGAGACAGGCACAACATTACGGAGGGCGTGACACCGAAAGCTACTGAGTAAAAGCTGAAGAGGCACTTAATTTTGCCACATGGTGAAATCTTAAAGCAATTGGGGATGACTGTTTTGCAAATATTCCGCACCTAATGGCTATTAATGGGGTGATTCTGGGCTCGTTAACGACAGACTTTAAAGATTGATGTTCACCTAACGGTGCAGCCTGTTGCAGCTAAAAACTCTGCCGAACAAAATTTTGGAGCATTTAAAAGCAAACAGGCAAGCAAAAATAAAACAGCAGAGCTAATGACAACCAACAACATAATTGGCACACGTATATGTAAAAGGGAGAGCGGAGAGAGAGAGAGGAGAGAGAGAGAGGAGAAAGAGAGAGAGAGAGGAAGAGAGAGAGAGGAGAGGATGAGAGAGAAGAGAGAGGAGAGAGAGAGAGAGAGAGAGGAGAGAGAGAAGAGAGAGAGAGAGAGAGAGAGAGAGAGAGAGAGAGAGAGAGAGAGAGAGAGAGATAGAGAGAGATAGTAGAGAGAGAGAGAGAGAGAGAGGAGAGAGAGAGAGAGAGGGAGAGAGAGAAAGAGAGAGCTCGTTGAAGGAACAAAGCAAGAGGGCAAAACAGGTAGGGTACACAAATGGCCTCACTAAAAACCGCTGCTCATAAGGACACGAGCGAGGCATTTTCAACAGCATCCAATCAAACTCAGCTTACACCAAGCAGCAAACAAAAAAGCAATTAAACGAACACGAGAGCGTAGCGAGCTCCGCTTTCTGCCCGGGCGGGAGCAGGTGAACATCTCCTTGCGCCGGGCGGCAGACAGCGTTCACAGCGCAGGCAGGGCTGCGTGCCACCTGCCTACCTAGAGTCAGCTTCTCCCCGGAGTCCGGCGGCAATGTAAAGGCCAGCAGCACCATGGTGGATATGAGGATGCCGGGCAGGACCAGATTGTGCAGGTAATAGAGCGTGCGCCGCCGGATCTGGACAGTGTACGTGATGTCGAAGTAGGGCTCGGGACAACAGGCGTACGAGATTTCATTGCGCTTGCCTGGAATACCTGGAAAATTGTGCACACGACGTCATACACGAGCACGTACCAGCACCGGCCGGGGGAGGTGCCAGAGCCAGCCCACGCGCAATGTAAAATGGGAGAGGGAGTGCCGCCGCGGGCAACTGTCGCCGGCAAAGGCGGCAGTGAGAGCTTCTAGCTCAGACTACCGGTAAAAGCTACCAAAACGACAGCAGATACTCTTAGGAACTAGGAAACCATGCAAACTGAGGAGTGCTAGTGAGATGACGAGCAACACTGCGGGTTCCGCGATTGGGTGCCGTTGTCACCCCCCCCCCCCCTCCACCCAACCCCCCTCTGCCTACCGTAAGTTAGTGCCTCCCTCACAGCAGCGCTGTCACTTTTCTGCTCTGACCCCCGATCGCACGGCGGTCTGGCTGATCGGGTCACACCTGATCGCCGATTCTGAGCTCCTGAACGTCGACCCGGAGGCCCTTACCGCTGACCCTAATCTGCTGAGCCCCTGAGCCCCTGACCGCTGGAGCTGGCCCCTGACCACCACCGACTGGCCCTGGCGCCTCCCCGACAAGCCGGCCGAAAGCCACGGGCGGATGAAGCTGCGACGTGCAGTGGTTTACCTAAGCTGAGCTTTTCGCCGCTGTCCGGCGGCAGCGTGAACCCCAGCACGGCCATTGAAGCGATCAGCACGCACGGCACTATCAGATTGGAGAAATAGTACAACGTTCTTCTTCTGATCAATATCTTATACGTTACATCGATATATGTTTGTGGGCAACAGGCGTAAGTAATTTCGTTTCGCACCCCGGGCACACCTAAAACAGAGAGAAAGAGGGAGATAGAGAAGAAACACACAACACGCATTTAGAGCACAGTTTTATACAATATTTACGTTTGGCACTACGGAGTCATGCTCTCATCTGTTGGTCTCATGTGAGTGATCTCCATTTTGATCTTATGTGATCTCATAGTGATCTCATGTGAATGACCTCCATATTGATTGGGCTGAATGCAGCTTTCGTCACTATTTCTGCGCAATAGGTTTTGAAGGAGAGCTTTGCTTGTTTGCATAGTCATTATGCAACCCACAGGCTACGTTTCGTTAGTATTTGTCTCGACCAATGTTCATGAAGCAATACAAAGAGCACACCCAAACAGTTGCATCACACAAAATATCTGCCGCACACGAACAGCCTGGCAATGTATGCGCTGCGGTCTCTTGCAAGTTACAGAGATTAACACATGGTTTTGAAAAAGCACATTATCCTGCCACAAAGTATAGAACATCTGCCAACGGAGTTAACCTTTTGAGTTCAAGCCATTCAAGGAGCAACGATGCATCTAAGAATAATGTAGTTTATACTTGGCATCGCTTAAGCAACGGGAGTCACCAAATAATATATCACAAGCTCAGCAAAATATAAAAAACAACAACGCAAGACATTATTGAAAGGAACAAACCAATCTAAACTTAAACACCCTTCACAAATGCATTGCTCCATGAACATATGCAGATGAGTGCATGACACATGTATAAGCACAGCAAGTTAGGAATCTGCTTTTTAAATTAAGAATGGATTATGATGAAAAGAGAAAGACGGCAATATCGGCGGGCGTCCGCGCTGCAGGCTGCGTTCTCTCAGCGTTCTTATGTAGAAATTGAGCGATTTTGAACTGTGCATTCCGTTCTCGCTGGCTGTGAGCTTTTGACAAAGTCGCATCATATCTCACTTTATTCCCTCCCTCCCCCCTCCCCGAGCGATGAAATCTGCAATTAAATTTCATCGGCTGGTAACCGGCCAAAGATCACCGTTTTTGCTACATAAGCCTGAAGAAATATGCTAGGCTTATGCTTCTCTGGAGCAATTTAGCCCATTCATTTTCGCAGACGGGTGGTTGAGATGTCTCTGCGCCTGGCAGGACTCGAACCCAGCCAAGGAGGCAGCTTGCAACGGGACGTGAGCCCTCGCCAGACGCACAGTGGAAACCAAGCGCGCTCGGTCGAGACACCTACCCAGCAGCGTCCACTCGCCGTTCGGCAGAAAACTGCTAGAGTCCCCCTCCTCGCCTGGCAAGATCAGGTCCAGCTGAAACAGCGCCGTGTCCGCTCAGCAGCCGTGATCACACTCAACGTGGACTTTTACCCTCCTAT